AAATAGAAGCTAAACATCTGGCTTAGACTGAGTATGTCAAATAAAAAAACGTGAATTTTAAAATATCTGTAATGGGGAGGCCTGGCCCTAGCTCAGCTCTTTAAGTGGCTGCTTCCACAAAGCTGTCAGCCTCAGGTTGCTGGAGTTCGATCCCCACAACACTCCAGCCAGCCAAACCTGCCCTGAAGGCATTCGGAGCAAAAATAAATAAATAAAAAAAATAAAATATCTGTAATGTTAAGAGAAAAAGTGAAGAGAAGTTAATTGTATGCAAGAATATTACATACACCAATTCTCTTAAAACATACTTCTTGTAGCATCTTAGAATTTTAGAATAATGTGTGATTCTTCTATGCTTAATGACAGGACGTTACAAGAACAGTTATCTGAATATTCACATGGAAAAGAATAAATTGGGACGCCTACTTCATACACAAAAATTAACTCAAAATTCATCAAATCTTAAATAGAGAAGCTAAAAATATAAAATGCTCACCAATAAACACAAGTGTAAGTTGTCATGATTTTAACTCAAGTTTTTTGTGTGTTTCTAAGAATACTATAAACAAAGTGAAAAGACTACCTACAAAATGGAAAAAAAAATTTCAAATTATACATCAGATAAAGGTCTAGTCTACGCCTAAAGAACTCTAAAAACAATACATAAAGAATTCTCGGGGGCTGGGGAGACAGCTGAGTAGAATAAGCGTTTGCCTGGCAAGTACAAGGGCCTGAGTTCAATCCCTGGTTCCACACCAAAAAAAAAAAAAAAAAAAAAAAGAATTCTCAGTAATAAAGACAAACAACCCTGTTTAAAATAGGCAAACGTGGGCCGGGGAGATGGCTCAGAGCCTGGCAAGCGCAAGGGCCTGAGTTCAATCCCCGGTTCTGAAAATAAATAAGTAAATTAAATTAAATAGGCAAACGATCTGGATAGTTCTCCGAGGAAGATATACAATGGCCAACAAGTACAAAAAAGCTAGTAGATGTAGCTCAATGGCAAGCACTTGCCTAGCATGGGTAAGGCCCTGGGTTCAATTGCCAGCCCTGCAAAGACATAAAGAGGAGGGAGGGAGGGAGGGAGGGAGGGAGGGAGGTAGAGAAGGAGGGAGGTAGAGAAGGAGGCAGGTAGGCAAGCAGGCAGAAGCTGGCTGCTCTAACATTAACAATCCTTAGAAAAATGCAACTGAAAACCATGATACATAGCTATAATTTGAATAAATAAATAAATGTTGACAAGAATATGGAAAGAATGGTACTCTGTACATTGCAAGTAGGAAGGTAAAGATTTAGCCACTACTGAAACAGTGTATAATCCAGAGGCAGTGGTCCTACCCTATAATCCCAGCACTCAGGAAGATAAGGCAGGAAGATTCAAAGCCTGTCTGGCTACACAGTAAGAGAATACTTGTCTAGAGAATGCTTAATATTCTATTCTCTTAAATTCATTTCGCCTTAAACCTCAAAAGTCAGCAAGGCTTTGTGAATCCTTGCAATCCCAGCACTGAGCAGCCGAAGGCAGGAAGACCTCAAGTTCAAGGCCAGTTTGGAAACATATCAAGATTCTGTCACAAAAAATAAACAAACGAAAGAACACAAATAAACACCTCAAATGTCCCAAGTTAAAATAAGCAGCACTTTAAAACATACTTGTACAGAAAACTCTCTGGCCCTGAGTCATTCACCTTGATTTTATGCCTTATTCTTAACCAGTTTTTTGTTTTGTTTTGGTCTAGTGTATCAAATAAATTTAAAGTAGAGGAGTTTATTCTACCAAATATATACTATACCAAGTAAAGAAGCAACATACAGGGCGTGTATAAAAACTCAAAGTCACAGCAATTTTGATCCTTTATTGGGATAATAAAACCTATTTAGCTTAAGGTCTTTACATAATGATGATCCACTACACCCGATGTCAGAATGTCTCAATTCCACATACTTCATTCAAAAAGGCAAAGAAGAATGTAATCCCCATGTTTTCAAACTCACAACCTTGAATTTTTCTGTTCTTGTTTTCTTCCCAGTTAAATCCAGTTATCAAATCCTATTGATTCTACCTCTCCATCCACTTGCTAATTCACTCAAGACTGCTATAAATAACCTGCTATTGTTTGTAATCCCACCTGCTACAAAAGTTGTCTTCCTAAAAAGAAAGATTTAATCATTAGTATGACTATAGTTCATAGTAACTTACTATGTATTTTATAAAGAACTAGAATTGAGTTTAAAGGTTCCCAACATAATGTTTCAGAACACAGTACTATCTTAATTTGACCATTAATTACACTTCATATACATATGTCAAATTATCACGCTTTGCTCCATAAGTATATACAATTATTATACCAACTTAACAAATGGAACAAGATTTTAGAGTTGGGGGAGGGGAGTTCACTCAGTGGTAGAGCACTTGGCCGAGCATGCAGCAGGCCTGATTTTGATCCTCAGCACCAAAAAAGCTTTAGAAGATCATTGGAAAAAAAAAAAAAAAAAAAAAACCTAAGCTAAAAATAAAACATGTTATTTACTCAATTAAAAATATTTATTAAAAATCAAATGTTAAAAGTTATGTAGTAGCTACAATATAAAATCCAAATTCCTTTTCCACAGCACTTCAATGTGCTTAACTGGGCCTCACTCTACTGGTCCAGACCCTTCTCCCACTAGCACCATCTGGAACTGTGAACTGCTTATTTCCTGAAAAAGCCTGTAACTTTCCTACTTCTGCCTGTGTGTTTATAATGCTATATGCCTGTATCTCCCTTACAGAAATTCTAACTTTCTTTTCAGGTCTAGTCCAGATGCCATATTTTCCATAAAATCCCGTGTCAAGAACAAAAACAAAAAACAAATATATAAATTAAGAAATTAAAAAGACATCAACAGCTATTATATGTTAAGTGGGATAGGATTATTTCTGCATTTTTTCCTATTAAAAATTGATGCTTTTGAAAAACTATGAGCTGAATATTTATGAAAAGATGCCATATATATGTTTATTTATGTATACATGGGTTTTTTTGGAGGGTGTTGTTTTTGTGTGTGTGTCTTTTTGAGATGGGGGTCTCACTATTTGTTCACCCTTTAAATCACTATGTAGTACAGGCTGATCTTGAACTTGTAGCAACTGTCCTGCCTTAGCCTCCTGAGTGCTGGGATTTATAGATATAAAATTAAAACAGCACACTTTTAAATAAATAAATAAATAAAATAGCACACTTAGCTGACACCTTTTTTTGAAAAAAGTAAAAGTAATACATGCTCATGATCAGAAAATTCAAGCAGTCCACAGAAGCATTTACTAGAATTATAACAAGAAAGCCAGCTAGGTAAAAAGTAAAGAAAATCAAACTAGAGGAGTACTCAAAGGGTATAAAAAATGGGGAGAACCCAGGTTCACAAAACTAATGAAATTGACTCCTTCCTCTCGTAGCAAAATGAGCCCCTTTTAAAGACCCATTCTTGCAGGGCACGGTGGTGGTGCACACCTGTAATCCTAACATTTGGGAGGCTGAGGCAGGAGGATCCTTGTGAGTTGTAGACAGCCTAGGCTACAAAGTAAGCTGAAGGCCAGCCTGAACTGCAGAGAAAGACCCTGTCTCAAAAAGACCAAAGAGAGAGAGAGAGAGAGAGAGAGAGAGAGAGAGAGAGAGAGAGAGAGACAGGCCTATTTTTCTTTTCTTTAAGACAGGGTCTCGCTCTGCAATTCAGGCTAGCATTAAACAACATGTAGCCCAACTAGTCTCAAACTCACGGTAATGCTCCTGCTTCAGCCTCTCAAGTGCTGCAACTACAAGTGTGCAAAAAAAAAATTCTTTTTTTTTTTTTTTTTTGGTGGTGCCAGGGATTGAACTCAGGCCCGTGTGCTTGCCGGGGAAGCACTTATTCCACTGAGCCATCTCCCCGGCCCCCGCAAAAAAATATTCTTAAAAATGATAGCTCAACATAAAAACATTCTGTCAGGTAGCACCTTTTTTTGGTCTCTTTCACAGTCTCTACGTAAAGGAGAGGGAAAATAAATTATCTAGAAACAGTCATTGGCAAAAATCAATGTATATCCCCTGGAAGATGCTTAAAAACTATTTCTAATGTTCTTTCTTCCATTGCAGAGTAAGGGGGAAGAGGGTTTTAATAATTAAAGAAGTACTATTCTATTAAAATCTGATCTGAGAGATGCTAGTTGTGTTTCACAGGATATACAACCCACGTCAACTCGAGCTTTAATGCAAAAGACCTTAAACAAGGCTGATTGACTGCAGACTCAACTACAGTTCCACCTATTCTATTACACAAGCTACACCAGTGGTAGTGACCCTGTGACACATATGCTGCAGCCAGCTGTTCAATATCATTAAAAGCTCTATAAGGGTCGCCATTACTAGTCCAGACTTTTTCAAGCAGTATATTCATGTTTTGCTTTAAGAATTCTGGTTCTTGGGGCTGGGGAGATGGCTCAGTAGAATAAGCGCTTCCCTGGTAAGTGCAAGGGCCTGAGTTCAATCCCCGGTTTCACCAAACGGAAAAAAAAAAAAAAAAATTCTGGCTCTCTCAACTTTAACGCCATCTTCTTAGAAACCTCTGTACCATGAGCGCCAAGTGGAGGAAGAAGCAAATGCACAGACTGAAGTATAAAAGAAGAAAGATGAGACACAGGTCCAAGTAAAATAGCTCGTACACCCATGGAGGCCAAAAGAGCAGAAATAAAGAATGCTGGAGGCTGCCAACACTGGTGAATGCTTCGAACTGCATGCTGTCTAGGATGTCTCAATGGGTTAGAACTTCATTGCCATCTGACCGCCAAGACCACCCCAAAGAGAGATCCACCTGGTTCAAACTAAGCAGTCTCCTTTTTTTTGCCCCGGACCTGTGGCATTCTGGACTATTTCTGTTCTTGCTTTTGACTGAGTGTAAAGTATGTACAATAAATCATCTCTCTTTTTTTTTTTTTCCCGAAACCCAACCATTCCTTTTATTTTACACAAAAGTATAAAGGTCAATATTCATTTACAAAAATAAGTTTAGTCATAAACTTCTGTCACAAATATGCTACAGTCTTAATCACAAATCCACTTCTCACGCCTGAATGCTGTTGGAAGTATCCAAAGCACTCCCTATCCTTTGGGGTTCTGTTTCTCAGAAGGTACTGCAGAGGAGGATCTGTTCCGTATCCTTACTCTTTTTCTTTTGCTCTTCTTTTCAGAAGTAGGAGATTTTGTGTCTTGTGCTTTTTTGTTTTTCTTCAAACAGCTGAGAGGATTAGGGCCACTTATTTTCTTGCGTCTTTTTCTTTTTCTCTGCTCAGGATTTTTCATTAAACCCTGTTTCTCCTTGAGTTGCTTTATACTTTCTTTCTCATGCACTGAGACGAGCTGACCTGACTCTATGGCTTTAACAAAGGCAATCGTTTTGGATGATGGTTTGTCCAAGACCATAGTGTTCTGAATAATAAACATGAGAGGAACTCCAGGCTTTTTCTTCACCTTCATAGATAAATTCTGGTCCTGTGTTGCCACAAAATAATGGTGAGGGTTTCCCTCTTCAACCATGGAAAGCAGACAGTCAGATCCACTCACTGCATTCTTGAAATGGGGACAGTTTCGAACTTGGCATTTCTGTGCAATTAGTTTTGCCCCATATAAGTCCTTTCCCAATGTTTCCAACTCCTTTAACACACATCTGGTCGTGCAAAGCTGTGTCTCCCCCATCAGGTAACCGGGCAGCTGCTCCCGCAGCTGGATGCAGCCCCGCAGCGCCGCCTGACAGAAAGTGCCGTCCAGCAGAATCTGGTACGGCTCCCAGACACCAAAATTGTTCCGAAAGAAGCCAAGATGCTTCTTTGTGTGTTTCTGCCTCGTGATCTTCATTTCTGGTTTAGGCGAACCGAGGCCACCGGGCCAGGAAACAGCAGCACCTCTTTACTCACGCTTTTCCAATAAATCATCTCTTCTGTGGGTTTTTTTTTGTTTGTTTGTTTGTTTTTTAAGAATTCTGACTGCTATGGAGCTGGGGAGATAGCTCTGCATTCTAAGCACCTGCCTGGCAAGTGCAAGGACCCAAGTTTGATCCCAGGAAAAGCATGCTGTGCCAGTCCTGAAACCAGGTGTAGTGGTGCATGCCTGTAATCCCAGCACTAGGAAGGCTGAGACAGGAGGATTACTGTGAATTTGAACTGCATACCATGATCCTATATCAAATAAATTAATTAATTTAAAAAAATTTTGACTGCTAAGCCCAAGTTGGCAGGAAGTCTTCCCTAAACTTCAGCCCTCAGTGATTTCTCTTTCTGTCATAGGAATTTAAAAGGATTCTCTGTTCCACAGAATAAAGCATTTCATTGAATTCTACTTTACTCTCTATTATTTTGTGTATATTACTAGGCTTTAAGTTTTTTTAAAGGCAGAAACTCTAATATCTGTATCTTGCATTGTACCTTAGTAAGTGGAACTGCACTGGAAGTGCACAAAAATAACATTTTAGATGATTCCTACTATGAAGTATCTTATAATAACATAAACATTAAAACTTTACACTTAACTCTGTGATAATAACATTTATTTATGGTTTTGTGTTGTAAAAAGGCAGTATTAAAAAATCCTGGGCTGGGGAGATGGCTCAGTAGAATAAGCACAAGGGCCTGAGTTCAATCCCCAGTTCCACAAAAAATAACAACAACAAAATCCTGATTATAACATTACAACAAAGATTAATTTACAAAGCAACTTTCCAAGAGAAAATAAGTCAATCTGTGATATTCTCTAGTTTCTATAAAAAATTCTTGTTCTTTTTTTTTTTTTTTTTTTTTTTTTTGGAACCAAGGATTGAACTCAGGCCCTTGAGCTTGCCAGGGAAGCACTTATTCTACTGAGCCATCTCCCCGGCCCCCAAAAATTCCTGTTCTTGACACATAGTGTAGATCTGCTGAATGAGCTGGTAATTATTTATTGTATTTTCAATGCCTCAAAACTAATTTTTCCATACAGCTGTATTTATTCACAGCATGTCTCATTTATGCTGGAGGTGTAAAAGAGCAAAACCAAAATCTTTCCCTCTCTCTTCTTTATGCTTTCCCTCGCCTTTGTTATCTGGTTTTCTGCAATTTGCTAGCCAAAGCTGTAATTAGTACCCCATGGGGAATCTATACTTTTCTAATAAAGAACAGTCTCCTGAACAATGGCATGTATACACACACAGTGTTCCTAACAAATTAGGAATATTTTACACATGCAAGCATTCAAAGAATTTTAACAGCTAAATGGGAGCACTTTACATGGCAGCTGCAACTGGCTCACAACACTGACTGCAGATTGATTCATCATTTTCTCTCTGATGGCATACACATCTAATTGCTGAAGGCAAACAACTCATTTGAGACTGAATAAAATTATGAGTACAGTCCTGAAGCAAACCTTAATAAGTAAACCACATTTGCCAAGATCATTTTACTCTCAAATTATTACAAAACTTATGGTATTTGTTATGTAACAGTTTACTATATTTTTCTATAGTCATAGTTTTTAGTCCCACATCCCTTCAGTGTGGTCTCCTCTTGTTCTCACTCAGCATCAACTCAGTCAGTCTTCACAGCTTGTCATTACCCTTGTCAAGTTCCCCTAAAGCCATCCCCCACATGGAGGACAGTCAAATAAAAAAATCATCAACTTGTAAAGAGAAAAACTCAACAACTTGCTAAACATCTAATTTACAACCACAATACAATTCAAGTGGGAAAACAGTATTTGCCCCTTCCTCACTAGGGCAACATGAAGGAAAACACCTTCATTCTTGCACCAATTCCCACTATAACTAACCAATGTTACAATATTGTTTGCTTTAGTAAGGCTACCACTAGTGCCTAGGGAGGTTACAGTTTACAAGTTCAAAAAGCCATAATATCTGGCTGTGATATCTGTCACCCTCATTGATCGCCAAGGCTGATTTGGCTGATCTGGCTCCAGAAGCGGGTGTCCTCTTCCTTCCTCACCTTCAATGTTCCATATGTGTTTTTCCTGAAGCTATGGAGCAACCATCACTGACAGAAAAGGACCCTTTCCTCAGTCAAATATACACAAGTAGCTGTGCTCCCCTGTTAGAACCCCCAAACAAGCTCTCAAAAAGCCATGTGCTCCAATACTGCCTACAGACTAAGTAACAGCTACCTCATGTACTTGCACATCTTTTATATAAAAATCTTGGGGCCAGAACTGTTTGAGATTTTTTTAAATTTGAGGATATTTTCATATACATAGAATCTTGAATATGGAACTCAAATCTAAATATGAAATTCAGTTATGTTTCACATATACTGTATATAAATACCCTGGAGGTAATTCATGTATTTTTGGTGTACCTGCATTTTACTGTGACATGTCATGTGTGGTCAATCAGGTGTGGAATCTTCCACCTGTGGTGTCATGTTAGCACTCCAAGTTTTGGGTTTTGCAGCATTTACAGATTTTGTGATTGGGGATGTTCAACCTGCACTACTTTTGAAATAGAAGTGTAGATACTGTTACGACTAATGAAAATCAAAGCAGACTGTAAAGTTTTACTGATGTATAATAGCTTTTAGCATGCATTTTATTAACTAGTATTATGGAAATTATAATTACTATCACATGAAGAGTACTACAGTGCTTTACCTACACCACAGTTTCCATAATTAGTGGTTATTAATTAAAGTTGGAAACTGAGGTTGAAAGTCACTTCATAAGAGTGGGCTCCTTGAATTAGATCTGTGTCTAATTTATCTTGTTTTCAGCGACTGAGAAGTTACCTTATAGCGTTTGCATGAAAATAAACATACCCTTACACACAAAGATGTTGAATCACTTTTCCGAATGTTTTTCAAGTTGGTTAAAGACTTCTAAACTTTACAACTGGGAGACATATGAAGTGTAAAGAAGGGCCAATGAGATAGCTCAGTGGTCTAAAGCGCCTGCTTAGGCAAGCTTAGGCAGGCGCAGGGGACTGAGGTTCCACCTGCCCCCAGGGTAAGCTGAGCCGCACCCCCCCCCAAAGAGTAACCATGAAGTATAAAGAAGAAGCATCAATATATTATATGCAGTTCAAGTTTTCCTTAGAAACTGTTACTTAGGTACTTACAATTACTTACAATTTCGAATCACACTAATTGGCATGCCTAATCTGTAAAGTTCTACTCTACATATGTCTGAAATGTCATCACTTTTTGCTGGACCACATGCCCATAAGTCAAGGGAAAGTTTAGGTTCTAAGACTAAACAAAAGAGACCAGAAATAAGTAGAATAAGCGCCTGCCTCACAAGCACAAGGTCCTGAGTTCAATCCCCGGTACCACCAAAAAAAAAAAAAAAAAAGACTAAACAAAAGGATTTTCTTCTGAGGAATAGTAACTTCAGACCAAACTATTTTTGTTTTCCTTGCAGGAAAACTAATTTAAAATAGCAATTATGTGTTTCAGCAAATAGAATATTAATAATGATTGTCCTCAGAATAAGTGTGAATGGCGCTATTTATTTTACCAGAAATCCATCTCAGAACCCTTGTGCTTGCCAGGCAGACACTGTGCCCCTGAGCTATATCCCTGGCCCAGCTCTTTATTATTCAAACTGTTCTTTTTTTCAGTTTGTCTTCTACAAGATAAATAACACAGTATAAAATAAGAAGTCCTCCCTAGTCATCTGCTTCACTTATAAGTTATCAAAACTGTATGTTCTAAAATGGAAAATGAAGACAAGTGTGGTGGTGCATGCCTGTAATCCCAGCACTAGGGAAGCTGTGGCTGGAGGATCACTACAGAGTCAGATCTGTGTAGTGAGACCCTGCAGATCCTGTACTAAGTACATTAAAAAAAAACAGGAAAGAAAAATAGGTGGATATAGAAATAAAACAAGATTGGGGTTCATTACAGTCAACCACTCTATGTCTAAAATTATACTTTTTTTTTTTGTACTTTTTAGGGAAGGGTCTACAGTGTGTTCAGGATCTCACTGCTAGACTGGACTTGTGAAGATCCACCCAGTTACAGTCTCCCAAGAACAGGGATTACAGATGAGCACTACCACACCCAATCTCAATTGTCCTCTCAGCACGCCCAGGTGTGGGGCCGGCCCAGCAGGGCCAGGAATTGAACCCCAGCCCCTGTGCCTGCTTGCAGGCACTTTAGTCCGCTGAGCTATCTTGGCCAGCCCTTAAAATTTATACAATTTTCCTTTTTACAAATTTTACACTATATGGAAAGACTGGCACAGCTGTGACAATAACATTTGCTCTGTGTATTAAAACTATGAAATAATCAGAAAAACATTCAAAAATAAGTCTACTTGAAACATTTGGAGGTTAAAAACGTAATTCTAAATATGGTAGTGTAATTTAGGGGGGAAAATGGCTAAAATACATTCTTGTGAGCTGTGCTCAGTTCTCCCAAGACTTTTAGATCTCTAAGAAGCAAATACATGATCAATATTTTGTCATCCTATTGTCTAGGCCCTAACAGATATGATGTTGATGACTTCAGCTTCCATGGTGCCATTACATGGTCAGAGTATCTCTGTAATGAAGCTCAGATACCTATCACCAACTTGAACCACTGTTTCAACTTCTTTCTAAATGAGCTGGTGCAGAAATGACAGCTGAGGTCCTGAGGCAAATTTCTCAGAACTCTTTCCAGGAAAAGATAAGTTAAATTTTAATCTTCACCTCAATTTACATAAGAAATGTACACTAATAAGAAATGGGAACAAGAAGAGAAAAACCTCTACATTAACAGCCCTTATCTGAGTGTCATTACACAATTCAATGTGGCCCAATTTAATTTTCTCTTCAAACAGTATCCTTGCTTAGATCAACATGGGTCTGAATTTATACAGCCAAGGTGCTACCTATGTGGGTTCTTGAATATATAACATCTC